GGGAAAGAATCATGAATGGATATGGTTGTTTTAATTTGGTTGCAGGGCCACCTACACTTACTTTTACTATCCAGAAACTTGTCAGTAATTTTTGGAAGGCCAACTAGTTTATCTCTTGGTTATTATAATTAATTCCTAAAAAGGATGTCTTATCTTTCTTCTTGTTCCTACAGAAACAAAAGAGAGACTCGTTGCTACTATGGCCAACTTTGCTTATGATCCTTACAATTATACGTTTTTGCGCCAGGTAAAGAGTGCTTGCTCTAGAGTATTTTGGCTAGGAAGGGTAAATTCACATCTTATTTATGAACTTTGGCCTAATAATAACCTCAAGATTATAAACAGCTCAACGTTTTGGAGCTTTTCCTAGACTGCATCACAGAACCCAATGAAAAGCTTGTTGAGTTTGGAATAGGAGGGGTCTGCAATTCTTGTGCTGGTAAGTTCGGTAATATAAGCGTTTCAGTGATCTTAATGCTCAGATTTTCTTTTACTTTCTTTTTTTTTTCCCCCTTGTTTGTAGATCCAGAAAATGCTACAATAATCACTCAGTGTGGTGGAATCCCTCTTGTTGTTCAATGTTTATCGAGCCCAGTTAGAAACACTGTAAGTTTTTTATTTATGTGTGGGGGGGAATCCCTCTTGTTGATGTGATCAAAATAATCAACATTCCATTTGTCATTCTTCGCAAAAGTTTTACAGCAGCCTTTTCAAGTTGTGGAATGCTTTTTTTTTTTTTCTTCGATACAAGACAGGATTCAACCCGCAACCCTCCGCTTAAACCTCACCCCACCCAAACCTCCAATGCCACTAGACCAAGAGGTCTTAGACTAATGTAATTAGCCCTAACGTGATCCTGTTTTAGTTGAATAATGTTTCTTTTTTATTCATGCGTGTTTTACTGAAAAGTGATGTACATTGATAGACATAAATTCTGGATTCTCTTTTTCTGGTATCTAAACTCGATTATGTATTGTATTAGGTGAATTACGCACTTGGGGCTCTTTATTATCTCTGCAACAAGTCTACCAGTGAAGAGATTCTAAAACCAGAAATTGTAGATCTCATCAACAGATATGCTGCAGCAGAGGCAGTTAGCGTCAGCTTCAGTAATTTGGCCAAGGCATTTTTGGAAAAACATGTATCTGAAAAATACTAACCAATAATAAACTAACTTCTTTTCTCTTGAGAATTCATCTCAAAACGATGCAGATTCATGCGCAAGATTGGTTCTTTATAAAATCATTTCCTTCCTTCCTATCCTCTTCCTTTTTTTTTTAGGTTAATAATTGGGCATTCTTCAAAACTATTTCTTTACTGATGGAAACATGTAGGAATCCTGTGTGTCCATCCTCTTGTTTCTCCCAAATACTTCATCAGATTGCTTACTGGTTTCGATTCTTTAGTAAGATATCTTTGATTTGTCCAATGAAAATGTGAATACAATTCTTTTGCCTTGTAAACTACTCGCGACGGTATTAGATCTAACCCGCGAAAAGAGGATGTATAGCTCCCCCCAAGAAGAAACTTGAATCATTTTGGGATAAAAGAGCAGTAGTACTATATCTACTACTATCCATTTTTAACTAACTAATATAAATTTTACATGCCAAAATAAGAAAAGGAAATCAGTGGTATCCAGTGGA